AATATATATATATATATATATATATATATATATATATATATATATATATATATATATATATATATATATATATATATATATATATATATATATATATATATAAATTCATTATAACATGTTACCTACCCATGATATTTAAAGAACACAACTAATTCACATGCAAATGACACTGACAGGACAAGAATTACAATATATGCATTTGGGCAACGCGGAAGAGCAGTGCCAATTTTGCCAGTCCATGATGTGGATGGAAGAGCGCAACAATACTGGTGCAAGAAACAGAGCCCCAACTTTTTCTTTGTGTTGCATGGAAGGACGAATTAAACTACTTGCCTTAAAGGAAACCCCAGAATATCTGAAAGAGCTATTGAACTATAGCGGAGGCAGGCGATCCACATGTTTCAAACAAAACATTCGTGCTTACAATTCAATCTTCGCATTCACTTCTATTGGGGCTGAGATTGATTACGAAATAAATAAAACACCAGGGCCATACGTTTTCCGAATAAGCGGAGAGAACTACCACCACATTGGGACCCTACGCCCACAACCAGGTAAAAGGCACAGGTTTCTACAACTGTACATGTACGACAACACAATTTCCGAAGTGTCCGGTAGAATAAGTTCCCTCACAAACGACGAGCCAACATCCAAGCTAGACACATCTATTGTAGAGGGTCTACTTAAAATGCTAGACAAGGAAAATTGCCTTGCAAAGGTCTTTCGCATGGCTCGAGATAGAATTAAGGATGATGGGAATTTAGATTTAGTGGTACATTTACTCTTAGAACGGGCACCAAAACAAAAGCACTATAATGCCCCAACAGCCTCAGAAGTAGCAGCTTTAATAGTTGGTGATTTCCAACAATCAACAGAGGGAAGAGATATTTTCGTCGAGCATAAAAACCAAGGCCTCCAAAACATCAGTGAAAGGCACCCATCTTTCATGGCACTCCAATATCCTCTGCTTTTCCCACATGGCGAAGATGGATACCACGACAAAATCCTCTACTCAACAACCTCGAGGATGCAAATCACAAGGCCATACGTGACAATGCGAGAATTCTACGCTTATCGATTGCAACAACGAACCACAGAGGGAATAACCCATATACTGGGAGGTAAACTACTCCAACAATATATTGTGGATTCATACACTGCAGTTGAGACGCAAAGACTACGGTACATACGAAGCAAACAAGACAAATTCAGAACTGATATATATCGGAACATCTGTGATGCCATTAACCAAGGAGACACAAAAGGGGCATCTGTAGGGAAACGAACAGTGCTCCCCGCATCATTCACAGGAGGCCCTTGCTATATGTTTCAAAATTATCAGGACGCAATGGCCATTTACAGAAAATTCGGCAATCCTGATTTATTCATAACATTCACTGCCAACTCTAAATGGCCAGAAATATTACATATTCTGGAAGCTATTCTAGGCCAACGCCCCGAAGACCGTCCAGATATCATTTCCCGAGTCTTCAACATGAAATTGAAGAAACTAATGTCTGTTCTCACAAAAAAACACTTTGGCAAGACAACGGCAGGTACGCACTCATAATCAATAAAACATTACGCCATATAACAAACCAAAGAGTACATGCACACCTCAACACCATAAATATACTTATATCCTACATGTTTCTGTCAATACCATTTCAGATATTGCCACTATAGAGTTTCAAAAACGCGGCCTCCCACATGCGCACATCCTTTTATGGCTTGAGAAATTGGAATGTCACACAAACCCAGCGTACATAAATAGGATCATCCATGCAGAGCTGCCAGAGGACACAACCTCTAAACTGTATGACATAGTATCCAAGTTTCTGGTACATGGCCCGTGTGGATAGCACAGGACAAACGCCCCATGCATGAAAGGAAATATTTGTTCTAAAAACTACCCAAAACCATTCTACGAGGATACCACCATCGATGAAGCTGGGTATGCAGTATACAGGAGAAGAAATAATGGCAGGTAAGATTACAATATGGTATACAATTCCACTACGATTTACTGCAGAATATAAAGACAAAAAAACCCCTGAATTATAATCCACTATTACGTACAGATCAGTAAAACACAGATACCAGTCATTCTATGCTTTACTTCTCCAAAGAATATACAATTACTTATACACCATAAAAATCAAAAACCCAAACCAAATCATACACTAACATAATCCAAACTTGCAGGGAGGTAAAGAAAGGAGCAATCATACTAGACAACACATCTGCTGTCCCATACAACCATGAACTCCTCCTTCTTTTTGAAGCACACAACAAAATTTGTTTGGAATCAAAAAGCAAAAGTGTGGAGTGTGGAACACCAAAAATGGATATATGTAAAACAATGGACAAAGAGGAAACAAGGCCAATCATTGGGAAGAATAGCATATGTCCACCCAACAGCGGGAGAATGCTACTACCTTAGACTACTCTTAAACTCGAGGAGAGGCCCAACATCCTATGAAGACATACGCACAATAAATGGTGTACTCCAACCAACATTCAAGGCAGCGTGTTACAGACTTGGCTTGCTGTCCGATGATAAAGAATGGATTGAAGCATTACAAGAAGCAGACCAATGGGCCACACCAAGTCAGTTGCGTGAACTTTTTGTAACTATCCTTCTATTCTGTGAAGTATCTGATCCATACCTCTTTTGGCAGAACAGTAAAGCAAGTCTGGAAGAAGATATATTATGGAAAAGAAGGAAAATTTACCGCCACATGGACCTACAACTCTCACCAGACCAAATACAGACGTATTGTCTCTTGGAAATTGAGAAAATTCTAGAAAGATCAGGAAAAAACCTATTAGACGTCCCATCCCTACCACAACCAGACAGAACTGCAGTTAGGCCACTTGATAACAGATTGATCAGAGAAGAGCTTAGCTATAGTATAACACAACTCCAAGATGTGCACAGAACGAATAAAGCATCACTAAATGCCGAACAGCTAGAAGTGTACAATGCAGTCCTTACATCTGTTGAGTCCGGCCACGGAGGAGTTTTTTTTATATGGCCATGGCTGAACAGGTAAAACTTTTTTGTACTCCACCATTGCGGCAAGGCTAAGAAGTGAGAGAAAAATAGTGCTCACTGTTGCATCATCAGGTACGTTAGCCCACCGCGTACAAATACAAACAAACACACAAACAACATTATGAAAATACAAAAAACTTCAAGATACACTTATAAAAAACAGCCAATCAAAATATGAACTAAAAATGTATACAGCGAGGATTTCACTGCACTCAACAACCAAAAATCATATTCACATCACAACAACACCAGATACTCACACAATCACACACAACAAATAGGCAAAACATATACATTCAATGCCAAAAAAACCAAATACTATTTTCATTAGGAACAAACAAAATGTATTCACCAATTTCCTATTCTTTGAACAGGAATAGCTTCCCTACTACTACCAGGTGGCAGAACAGCACATAGCAGGTTTGAGATCCCAATAGAATTATTTGACAGCACGACATGTGGGGTACGCCAGCAAACACAGCTCGCAAACCTGGTCATACAGTCCTCATTAATAATATGGGATGAGGCTCCAATGGCAAACAAACTAGCATTTGAAGCTGTTGATCGCACACTAAAGGACATTGTCTCCTACACACAACATGAAGCAGCACATTTGCCATTTGGAGGAAAAACAATATTGATGGGGGGAGATTTCCGACAAATACTGCCCGTTGTGAGAAAGGGGAAGCGGCCAGATATCGTCCTTGCAACGTTAAACCGGTCGTACATTTGGGCTGACTGCTTAGTCCACACATTGAAACAGAGCATGAGAGTCAAGAACCAAACAGTGGAGGGAAACACAAACATTAACAATAAAACCTTCAACAAATGGTTACTACAAATGGGGAATGGAACATTACCAATGGTGTCAAGGGAAGATGAGGAAGAGCCAACATGGATTGAAATACCAAAACAACACTGCGTTCCAGTAACAACAGACCACATTTCAGATATAATAGCTCACACATATCCAGACTTCATCAACAAATGGAATGACGAAGTCTACCTAAAAGAGAGAGCTATCTTGACCCCGTTGAATGACACCGCAGACGAAATAAATGAGAAGATGTTCAACCTGTTACCAGGAGAACATGTATCCTACAAAAGTTGTGATGAAATATGCAAGGCTTCCCAAGAAAGTGACAACATAGAGCTCAGCTACCCCACAGAATTCCTAAATACATTAAAATTTCCTGGAATTCCTAACCACATACTCACACTAAAGGTAGGAGCACCGGTTCTGATGCTTAGAAATATTAACCCGGGACTTGGGTTATGGAATGGGACAAGATTAATAATCACATACTTAGGCCAGTTCATTATACGTGCCCGAATACTAACTGGGAAAAACATTGGAGCTTTGGTGGACATCCCTAGAATCATACTATCATCCAGCGATGGAAAATATCCTTTTGTCATAAAACGAAGACAATACCCACTTAGGATATGCTATGCGATGATGATAAACAAAAGTCAAGGACAGTCCATGAAGAATGTCGGAATCTACCTCCCAAACCCCGTTTTCACCCACGGCCAACTTTATGTAGCAGCATCAAGAGTGACTAATCCAAATGGACTACACTTCATGATAAAAGAGACAGATGAAAAGTATATGCATTACACGCGTAATATAGTCTACAAAGAGGTCTTCAACAACCTTCCCCAGGTAAGTACTCATTAAATTCACACATATTCTATCCCAGAACCAAACATAATACATCCCCAAATATCAAAATCTATACAAAACTAAATAATAACTACTACTACAGGATGAACAAAGACATGAAGAAGAATAACGCAGTTCCCATGACAACCAAAACTACAAATTCCTTCAAAGTAAGAATACATTCAAAATTTATTAAATTTCAAACCAACCATTTCTCACTATCTTTTTCATGTGCAAATTACAGGATTCAGCTCTTCACGAATGATCACCACTGCAGCGCCCAACCCAAAAAAACACCTCACACCGCGCAACATCAACTTCACACCAAGCATACCTAACTGATGAAGTCTGCTAAATCTGCAGCATTTCCATCCATTCTTACCATTAACACTACCATTATTCCCTCTTCTTCCCGTGTGGGAATAACTACATGCACAAAGGGAATGTAATTATTCAAATATCCTTTCCTTATACATGTGGTTTAAACAAAACCTATAATAACAAACTAGGTTTCCGTGAATAAAAAATCTCTCTCTCTTTCCATTGTCTTAATGTCAGCAAATCTATTGCTATATAATGTGATTGAAAACCTATAAAATCTCTCTTTTCACAATAAACTTTAACACACAATATTCATGTACATATACTAAACTTCATATAAATCAAATATTTATTACAAGATGTAATAGAAGAAGAAATGATGACTACTTTATTAAAACCAACATCACCCTTCCTTTATTTATAAAAAATCAAATTTAATATACCTAATTATGTAGAAAACTTTAAAAAAAAACAAATAAACTAAAATATAAAGTCCAAATGAATCCAATCCTTAAATAAAAAACATTAAAAATTTTAATCCTTGACAAAACATACCAAATTCTTGGTAAATAAAAAAATAGTAAATTTAATTTAACAATTGAAACCATAAAATAAAAATGCCAAAAAAAAAATTACGCAATGACAACTCAATGAAAGATATGTCTCTCATATATGATATGCCATATGTTCACCTTAAAATAACAAAATAGAAAATGAAAACTTTTCCTATTCCCATTATAAACATACACAAAAAAACCCAAAAAAACAAAAATGAAATTACCAATAACCCAACACTTTCAAGAAATAACAACACCAAAAAAACATATCAAATACATTCAATCAAAAAAAACAAAAAAAAACACGCCGTTTGCCATTTTATACCATAGTACTACTTTTCCTCATTTGATTCATCCAAAAACAAAATAAAACTAAATGAATCACAAAAAATACAAACAACGAAAACCAAAAAACATAAATACAAAACATCCTTAACACACCAAATAAAACGCTCAATACCTTATACAAATTTTAATCACATTCATTACATTAATATACTAATTAAACTACATTGTATTCTTGACCAACATTAACTTTCATAACAACGTCCAAAAAAACTTAAATATTAATTAAAACGTAATTCCCTACTACAAAACAATCAATATAAATATGCTATATAACAAACCCCACAATTTTAAACACAACATTGTAATTAAAAAAACCACACAAAAGGTGCATACGAAAAGCAAAACAACACAACAACAACACAAATACAACCACAACCATCAACATCCCCTCGTAAGTCTATCATCCATATTACCCCCAACAACCCTATGTGTATACAACTTGGTATACACATAACATTTCCTATCCTATTTCAAACTACTTTTCTTCTTTACTCCACCCATAACATTTCCATTCTTCAAAAAAAAAACATAAAACTTTAATCCCCTATTGCATATCACATTTAACACCTAAACTCATTTTCAATGAACATAATTCAGTAATTTCAAATAAATTCTCAATTTTAGAAAAAAAAACATTATGTCACTCTATTCTTCTATAAAACAAAAATTATACAATAAACAAAACTACCCTAACATGTCTATACAAAAGTACAATAAACTTAAAATCATAAAACCCCTTACATTACTATGTTTTGCAGATAATGGAGAATGACAAGCAACAACTTCGCATCTCTTACAAAACAATACTTTCCCACATCCTAAAACAATTACATCTACAAAAGGCACATTACACCCATGAAACGAAAGAGAGAAATCAGCATTACTTCACCACACTAGAGATCACAATGGAAGACGGAACAAAAATCCCGATTATAGGCAGCAATGAAACGAAAAACGGTGCAGAACAAGATGCGGCTAAACAAGCAATAGTCCTTCTCAGAGATGCATTCGGATATACAATAAACGGACTTCATTTGTAAGAATACCTACAATTACACTCGAACTATTGCTTCCACCAATAATCTCTGCCCATTATCATTTTAATCTAGATTCCTAATTACGCATTAAAATTTCTTTTAACATCTACCTAAATCTCTCTTTGCAAGTATTCAAAGTTTAACTTTCATTACAAAATTCATAATGTTCACCCAAACAAAAACCAACTAACAAAATAAACAACCCGAAACATACAAAACCAAAAAGAACATCTAAAATCAAGACAAACACCATAACTCTTTAACCAATAACGTCACATTGCAAAACCCTCAAACAAAAATACTACCACTCTTCACATTCCACAAAACAAAAACATATAATGTTGTATTCCAAAATCAGAAATAACAAAACCATACACAACCATTACACACATGTCATACCATAGCACTAAAAAAAACAAAACATCAAACCGGACCGGACCTGCCGGTTCGGACCGGGAACCGGTGAACCGGACACCAAACCGGTCCGGTCCGGGCAATCAGACCGCTCTCTGCAACGAACCGGTAGAAACCGGTATAAACTGGTTAAAACCGGCCGGTTTTACCGCCTGAACCGGTTTTCAATCGTTTGTGAAGGTTTTTAAAAATCATGCCTCCAGGATTCGAACCAAAGACCACAGGGCTAAGAGGAGCCTTCACAAACCATCTCTGCTACAATGGCGGGTTGGTACTCGTTGCTATTTTCGTTAAATATCCTTTAATAAAAATAATCTCAATCAAATACTTTAAAATATACTATATAGTTTTTTTAACTAAAAATCAAATCACTTTTTATTTATAAATTTTTTTAAATAAGTAAATTGTATTTTTTATTTAATGACACAACTCAAGTAAATTAAGTTAAATGATAAATCTAGTCAAACATCAATTCTTTATTTATAAATAAGGGAACTATATTATTTTATTTACTCACACACACACACACACACACACACACACACACACACACATATAAAATCCTTTAATATAATATTTGAGAGTTGATTAAATTAGATGATGACACGCGTACTTAATGAGAGTTTATTTTATTAACAAATCAACATCCACACGTCATTCTCCCGTGCGTTTTCCAAGCGGAAGAAGAAAATGAATTTCGCCCTTCTTCATCGTCCCAATTTCAGTGGAAGGCCTTTCCATCTTCATTGCGAGAAATCTGCGATTTCCTCAGCCCTTCGCCATCTCCTTTCCTTTTGAATGTCGACCAAAATTAGCTGAAAAAACCACAACATCAGCTTTCCTTCACCAACGATCGCAAGTTTCTTTTCTCAATTCGAATCAGTAATAGCCAATTGCTCACAATTAGAACCCTATTTCCGGTTTATCATTATTCTTTTCATATATCAAGTATTCTTTCCTTCATTTAATTTAATCCATGGCCTCAAGTGTTAATTTTTTTATTATTCTGATTTTTCACAAATTCTTAGGGTTCTTATTTGGTAATTATATTCATTGCTTTGAACGAATTCTCAGGGTTCCGAGATTAATATAAAGGATATATATATACATACAATCAGTGCATATATATACTGATGGGCCGATATCCAGAGGACGGCCCAAATGAACCATTTAAACAGCTTCGGGTCAAGCACCTGTGGAATACTCAAGCTGGGCCGGCCCAAGGAGCTGGGCCTAGTTAACTTCAGGCAAAGCGCAGCTGGCAGAGTCAGTCCGGAGAAGGAGACGGAGCTGATTGGCCGTTACGGAGCCGGAAAAAGGGGATCGCGCCCTTTGACGGGCTAAACTCCATCGGTTACGCTTCACCTTAAGGGTGGAGAGCTCGTGTATAAATAGAAGGGACCCGAAAGGGGAGAACTCAAGCTAAATCCAGCTAGTAATACACATCCAATTCTCGAATTCTTGTTCTTAATTTTGTTTTTACGATCCGCTCTGTAAACCGGATCATTTGGTGGATTTATTGTCCATCAAATTGGTGCTCTCGTTGAGAGTTCGAGAATCATACTCGGAAGAAATCCTCCACGACGACGATGGTGCACACACGTAGCAACGCCAACGTAGGTACCGGAGTTCCCCAACAGGGAGAGAACAGCGCCACCGGAGGTCGGCACCCCCCCATCACCACCGGGGAGGCTGAGGCCCTCATTCAGAGGGTTGGGATCACGAGCGAACAATTCAAGGAGGTGCTGGCCGCACTTGCCCCCAACCGCGAGGTAGTGGTGGGAGATGTTGCTGGGGGACCCATAGGCGAGAAGGCTGGGCCTGCGGGCTCCCAAGGAAAAAAGAAAAAAGTGAGGCGGTCCCAGAAGAAGAAGGCGACCAAGCCCAATGGGAAGGCTATGATGGCGGATGCGCTTTCCAGGCTGGAAGAAGAGGACGAGTCGTCCTCCTTCGAGCGAATGTCTGCTTTTGACCGTTTGGGAGATCCCAAGTCGAAGAAACCTCGGACCTCTGCGTTCGAAAGGTTGCAGGACACTCGGTCGGCCCGAAAAGGCGACTTGAGAGACACGCTCAAGGAGAAGAGAGGGGAGTCCACAGCGACCTCCAAGGTCGGTTCTGAGGAGCGACGGACGACAGTCGGGGATAAAGGTGCAGCCGAGCTGTGGAAAATGTACGAACAACTGGAGAAGCGGCTGGATGCCCAGAACCCCTAT